GGAAAGAGTCTGCTGCTTTCAGTACTGTTTTTCAATGTTTTCTTTCTTTTTTATTTAAACGAGGTCTTCCGTTGTTGCCTAGGCCAGCCTGGAGATGCCAGTTCTCCTGCCTCAGCCTCTCTGAGTCACTGGGATTAGAGGCCTATGCCTCTGTGCCTGGCCTTTAAGTTGGGCTGGGAATGGAACCCGGGCCTCCTAGGTGGTCCCAGCCTGCAGAGAACAGTGTCTTAGCAGGTGCACAGCACCACGGCTGGGCCTCAGGTTCTTAATATATGAGGTGACTTATGGAACCAGTGGCTCTTGTTAGAGTTCCATTTTCAGAAATCAGCTTCCTGCTTAGCTAGCCCAGTCCTCCAAGTTTTCCTAGTTAGACTGCTTCTTGAATTGCATATTCAGGCAGGAAAACACAGCCCTCCCCCTTGGCAGCGGGCTGGAGCAAAGTTGAGACCATTCCCAACCCCTACCTCCCAACCCCAGTCCCATGTTATCCAGGAAGTCACTGATGGCTCTGAGTCCATTGTATCTTCTAGACAAAGAGGTGCCGCCGGCCAAAGATCCCATCAAAAACTCTGCTTATGATTCTGCCATTTCAATAACCTGAATCATCTCTAAATCAATATAATGGTTCCGTTTTCTCTCTGAAGCCATACTAATATCTACACGACTTCTTGCTTTTATCACTTATTTGACATTTAGCGCAGTACAGTTTGCTTTCATTCTGAATAGGTTCTTTTAAAAATTATTTATTTAGTTTTATTTATTTATTTATTTATTTATTTATCTTTTTAAATTTGACCAGAGAGAGGGCGGGGGGCAGTGAGAAAGCAAGCCACTAGGAGGCAAGATGAAAGCCACTAGGTCCAGGACTTGAACCACAGTGGGCTATGTGGGATCTAGCACCTTTAACCACCACGCCACCTGCCGGTCCCCATTCTGAATAGGTTCTGATTCTCAACTACATGACTAAGGGCTGAGGTGGGTAGCGGGACAGATGTAGAGGTGACAGTTGTATTTTTGCTGGCAGGGTATCACTTGGCATAGAGGATTCTTCTCTGCCCAAGCTCTCTAGGATATTTTGATGTGGAGTCTGGGGGCAAAGCCAAGAGGGATGACAATGACAATAGAGGAACAACCTTGATCTGTTTAATAAATATCTTTGGGGTACTCAAGTGTGAAAATCTAAAAGAAAGACTTCAGGCCAATAAAAAAAGGGGGGGAGAGGGGAAGGGCATGAATAAAATTAGGTGGAAAGGAGTGAAAAGGAGCGAAGAAACAAAATGGCAGTCGGAGTTCTACTTAAGAGTGCCATGAACAAGTTCCAAGCAGCAAAGAGAAGAGAGAGAGACTTCACAGCAGGGACTTCAAGGACCAGGGCTATATGCTGGGTCTTTAGAATGTTTATGGAAAATGCTTATTCTGAAAACGATAGCAGTTTTTCAGGGCGCTGAATCTTACATGGCCAATCATGGTTCAAGTCCTGGCCCCAGCAATTTCAAAAATATGTTTCCTGTGTACCCCAAATCCTGACAGGATGGAGAAATGGAGAAGGTATTGTGGCATGACCATGCCCCACTGTGAGGCACTTTCTCCCTCTCTGTGTCTCTCTCTGGCAGGCACACATACTTTCTGACAATTAAAAAAAAAGAAGAAAATGAAAGGGGAAAAAAAAAACTACACATTTATGTCAAAAGTCTTTTGCACCAAAACAGATTCATACTTTAATTCCATTTTCCCATGAAACGCTTGAAGCCCCCTTGCATTGTGTTCATTTTTTGAAAAGAATTATTTTATTTAATTGTATTCAATGTCATTATTTATTTTTTTTATTTTATTGAAGTTGACCAGCTAGAGACAGAGAGAGAGAAGGAAGTGGGAAAGCCAACTGCCAGGTCTGGGACTCGAACCATGGACAGTCATGTGAGGAATCCAGCCACCCTAACCACCACGCCACCTGCTGGCCCCCGTATCGTGTTCATTTTAAGGAGGTTTCACGGTACAGTATCAGAGCCACCTCTATCACCCACCATGCATGTGGCATCCCTTAATGCTCTAAGGTAGGAGCCTTCTCCCCGTGGGGGACATGCAGGTTCACAAAGGTAACTCCATGCAACGACTAGAGATCTGGGGAAAGACCTTCAGAGAAAGAATCTAGAGGTGCCAGGACAAATCTTAAAGCACTACCCACTCCTCCTATTCCCGGCATTTGTGAAATGACAACTTTATTTCCATTTCTAAGGTCTCTGGGACTGGCCAAGGGGCGAGGAAACCAGACCCTACCCGACCAATTGCACAGTTTGAATCTCAGCCCTGGTGGCTTGAAAAATAAACTAATAAAAATCACCAGATATGTGGGTGTATGCAGCCCGAATCCTAACAGGATGGAGAAATGGAGAAGGGATCGTGGCCTGACCGTACACTATGGTGGGGGATTGTTTTTCCCCGTCTTTGGCTTTCCGTTGAGCACATGTGCCACCTGAAAAACAATGATGACAGCAACAAAAGACATTTTTAAAAATGTTTATGACCTCAGCAGCTAGAGGACTGGGAATCAAGGTGACTGACAGAGGATTGGATGCATCCTTCTTACAGGTCAGGACCGCTTGCAGCAAAGCCAGTGCTAAAATGACTGTAGTTACAAAGATGCTGGTGTTAACTGGGCAGGAATAAAATCTGAATACAGAACCTGAATGAAAATCTTCCTGTCCCTTTCCAGCCGAGAGTCTGGCAGTGAATAAGATCTTTCTTCATCTGGCACCATAAATAACACATTCAGAAAGATTCCATCGACTCGGTCCTGCGGAAATATCGGTGTCAGAATTAGCAACACTGCCTCTCATTGTGCGGCCGGAGTCCTCCGATAGCATCCGTGAATACCCACCCCCACCCAGCAGACTTTATTAATCACACCTTACAAAGGACCTACTATTTGCTAAGAGCTTAACACAAAGAGGCAGGCCTCGGGAACTGTGCCATGGTTTGCTATTAATATTTATTTTCCTTTTCCATATAATTACTTTAAAAAAAAAAAAGGCAAAATGCTCATCTGTAATTTTTGCATTACAAAAAAAAAAAAGCAAAATGCTCATCTGTAATTTTTGCATTACAGAAATGACATAGTCACAAAACATGGAAAATTGAGGGGAAAAAAAAGAGAAGCACGCAATTCTCCCATACTGCCACAGCAACGGGGAACATTGTGATGGATCTCTTCGCAGGTTTTCATTGTTTAATTTAAAGAAGAAGAAGAAAGAAACCTTTCAAAGATACAGAAAATAGCATGACTCCAATGTACTCACTTCTAAAGTGAAAAATATGCTAGCATTTTACTGCACAGCTACCTCTTCTCTGTCTCTCTTTTTTTTTTTTTTTTTGGAGAGGTTTTTTGCTATAGGGCACGTGCGCTCGCCAGAAAGAGAGACAGAGAGAGAGAAAGAGAGAAATCACCCCCCAGGGGGGATGACCATGCTGCAATCCCTTCTCCTCCATTCTCCTCTCAGGATCTTGGGCACACTCGCACAAGCGCCCGACGTGAGTTTAAGCCACCGGGTCCGGGACTCGAACCGCGGTCGGCTACATGGGAGTCCAGCGACATAGCCATTACACTAACTGTTGGTCTCTCTGTCTCTCTCTTTTAAATAAATAAAACATGACAAACATAGCAAATACCCCTGACTCTTGGGGCCACATTTACCCACCTGCACCCACAACTAGAGATGTGCATTGTGTAGAAGTTGGTGTGTCTCAGTGCTAGGTCTGATTCATGTGTGTGCTTCATTTTATTTTTAGTTACTTCAGCGTACACTTGCCAGAGAGAGACAGAGACAGAGAGAGGGAGAAAGCACCACACACACACACACACACGACGGGTCACGGTCACACAGCAACCCCTTCTCCTCCATTGCTCCGCCCTGTCTGGATTTGGGGCACGTACATGCCTGGCGTGTTTCCCAAGCCACCTGGGCCAGGTTTCGAGCTGGGGTGAGCCCTGAGAGCTCTGGCTTCTCTAACCAGCAGGCTACCAAGCTGGTGCCGATTTCATGTTTTTACTGCATGTTGCTTGTCTTTATAAATATCTACTCTTGTTTCTGAAATGCACACAGACAGTAACCTGGTATAGCCACTGCGATGCGAGCACACCTGCGTCGCCCACCCTTTGACCTCCCGCTGTGACTGAGCGCACGCGTTCGTTCGTGCCCGTGCTGAAGGAGGGCTAGGTCGTCACGACTCTGCTGCTCATTCAGACATTCCACACAGGCCTTTCCATGGGACTCCTTGTGAATTCAGACCGGAATTACTGGATCCTGGAACACCCACATCTCAACCTTGGAAACGGATAGAATTCTCTTCAAGATGTCTATGTAATATACACCCCCATTTTTCTGAGTTCTATTTCCCCTTGAAGGAAGGGGGTCAGTAATTTGAGGAAAGATGACAGAACAAGAAGTTAGAGGTCTTTGGGTGGAATAAGCAAACGCCACCCTCAGGGCCAGGTCGTGGTGCAGGGACCCACGTGGGAGGAGGTCTCCCTGTTCAGGCCAGGCGTGGGCATTTCCTACGCCAACTAGCTGGGGCTGGGGTGGATCATGATATGAGGACCCCATTGGGGGAGGGGGGTCCTTGTCTCTTTGTCTCTCCGTTTCTGTCTCTTATGAAATTAATTCATTTTTAAAAAGTCCCCTCCTACCTGAAAATGTGGAAAAGGATGCTGGCTTCCCAGCATTTTTAAATCTGAGGAACTTTATTTACATTCAAAAGGCAACAGGACAACTGGACCAGCCTAGGCAGCTGATGGGCCCCTGCTTGCTGCAGGCTCAGGAGCTTCCCCACAACCCTTGGTAATATCAGACTTTGATTTTTCCAGTTAGGATAAGGTTGGACGTCGTGTGTGTTTACAACTCTTCAGCTTCTTCCTGTCTTCCTTCCCTTCTGCTTCGTGTCACTTTCCATGGGACTGTCTGTCTCACGGTCAACGATGTGTATGGGTCGTGAGGATGGGTCAGAAGACCAAGACTACAATCTGTTTTGGTGGCGAGGTCACCCTGCAGGTCTGCTCTCAGTGGTGAGGTCACACTGCGGGGACACCCACGGGAGCCTGTGCACAGAGTTATCTACGGACAGCAACTCTGCCAGTTCTCACCAGCACAGACTGTCCCAGAATGTGAAAGAGCACCGGACAGGCCCGACTACACAATGATGGTTGTTATCGCAAAGTTACCCCGAGAAGAGATTTGGAGAGTAAAGGAGACAGGGACAGTCTTCAAAGTAGGAGGACAGAGCCTCGGTCATAAACAGAAAACCCTTCTCAAGAACAAAGAAGAGGTAGGAGAGTTACATAGAGGGAAAGCCTCACCTCAGATTCCCACTGAAGTTCTCTGTAGTCTGTATATAAACAAAGAATTTAGATGTGTTCAGTCCTGACTGGTTGGGACCATCCACAGTCTCATTGGTTTAGGAACTAAAGTTCAAAGGTTTGGTTTGTGTTTTCTGATGGAGTATGTGAATAACTCCATCAGCAAAGGGCTGCTAGACTCCATGTTTAATTTAGACCCAGTTAACAACTGAAGACCTTTCTTTTTTTTTTTTCCTTTTTTTTGGAGAGGTTTTTGCTATAGGGCATGTGCGCTTGCCAGAAAGACAGAGAGAAACAGAGAGACAGAAAGCGAGACATCACCCCCCAGGAAGGCTGGTCATGCTGCAATCCCTTCTCCTCCATTTTCCTCTCGGGATCTTGGGCACACATGCACATGCGCCCAGTGTGAGTTTAAGCCACCAGGTCTGGGACTCGAACTACGTGGGATTCCGGTGACATAGCCATTATGCCAACTGCTAGTCCCCTGAAGACCTTTCTTAAAGAATTCTGCTCATTAAGAGTTCCCATTTCCCTCTTTAGATAGAAAGCTATGGACAGGTGGCATGGATGGTCAATCAGGTCAGATGTCTCCCTCCGTTGTCAGAGTGGTCAGTCATGTTTTGGGCTTGTCTAGTCCCACAGCGGGATCTCTGTGGTGGGACAGTGGTCAACTGAGTTACTAGAGCTATTTACTCACAAAAGTCACTCAAGTACCTGTGACATTTGAATCAGGGTTTCCTGGGTCAGACATCATAACTAGGAAAATGAAAGTCCAATATTACCAAGTGGTTATCACCAAGTGTTGGTGGGGGAAAGTCCTGAGCCTCCAGGAGGGGCACATCCAAATGTCAGCTGCCTAGGCGATCCAGTGTCCAGCTTCCTTCTGAACAATAAATAAAGTTCCTCGGAGCCTCATTTCACAGATAGCCTCAGCTTTCAACTGGAGTGAGTTCAGAGTTTCCAAGTGTTGAGTCAGAATGATTCTGGTAGGCATTTCAAAGTCATTTGTTAACAGAGGCTAGAACTGCTTTAGAGGGGCCAAATCCCTAACCCCATTATGAGAAAGATCACTAAGAATCTTTTTATTTTTGGGGGGGGAGGGGAAGGTTTTTGCAATAGGTAGCATGCGCTCGCCAGAAAGACAGAGAGAGACAGAGAGATAGAAAGCGAGAAATCACCCCCTAGCGGGGATGGCCATGCCGCAATCCCTTCTCCTCCATTCTCCTCTCGGGATCTTAGGCATGCATGCACACGTGCCCAGCGTGAATTTAAGCCACTGGGTCCGGGACTTGAATTGCAGTCGACTACATGGGAGTCCAGCGACATAGCCATTATGCTAACTGCTGGGCCCCAGATCACTAAGAATCTTAAATAGAGTGCAAAAGAGAACTGATGTTAGAGGATAGCCGACTGAAAATATCTGAACACTTAAACTCTAGCCAGGCAATGGAGTCCTAGAGGGAATGCCTTTTAAGAATGTGAATAATTTTAGAATGTTCTGGTTCTACCTGGATAGAGATATTGGTCTAAATGCAGCATGTAGTATTTGTCGTTGCACACACTCCAACCTGTGTAGCTTAAATCTATAATCAGAGAAAAGGAAGAGACACACAAACCAAAGAAGTGGCATGCGATCCCAGACTGATTGGTTGCAGTTGGCCTTTGCTTTATCTGGGTGTAGAGTTGGTAGCCTGTGATTGGCTGAAGTTAGGTTGGCCGGTCAACAGGGTAAACTCTTAGGCTGCAACTTGTTTGTATATCAAGTTAGGTTGTAGTTCCATATATTAGGAGACTACTTTGGGGACAAATTTAGCACCCAAGTACAATTAGGACAGTTTTGTTCAGTTCAACAATTCCCCCTTATGTTCATCCTCACAGTCTTAAGAAATTGATCAAGCAATGACACCATCTTCTGTAATCATCACAATTATCA